TACAAAAGGGAGAAGAGTCCACAATACCATGGTAAGAGGAAAAGTTGTTAATATCCACCATGGGGGTGTATTTTACTAATCACAGATAGAACCTGCAGCTTGTCACAACTCTTTCAGCATCTCCATTAAGAAAGATCACTTGGCTATGCCTAATTCCTCAAGATCATTGCTTCAACCTACCAACTCTCCTAAGCACAAGTGAGTGAGCAAGGAAAACCTCACAATTCAGAGAGCCCTTTGGGCTGCAGAAGCATGCTCTCATGGCACCATTTTCCAGACAAGTTTATTCAAGAGCTGAAAGAACACATTTATCTTTGTTCCTTCACATAACTTCCAGAGCCCCAGAAATGCAACGAGGTGACCAGCATGAGCAACAAAAAACTGGCATCTGTGAGCAAACTTGCCCTAAGAACCACCTCAACATCCTGACCCACACAAACCTAAGTAGGGTCCACAATCATCAGCTGAAGGATTCTGACTAGGCAAGGAATTAAATTGCTGTTTCAGTACTTCTTATCTAGAGACTGAGCTGAGGAAGACTGACCAAGCTGGACAGAAATCCAGGTAAATAATCCTCCTGATCTTTCTATCAGAAACTTTCATCAGCATGTTGTCCTAACATAAGGAGCACCAAGATTCCTGCATGCTGTTGTCTTTCCTAATCAGGTCTCAATATGCAGACTCCAGTGAAGCACAGAGATTTTGTTTGTATCTCCATGCAACACTTGGAACATACTTCCTCAAGAAAAACCAGACAAACATCAAAAAGCTATTTCTTGTTTTAGAGGAAAGAAGAGGGAAAGACTACACAATCAGAAGGGTGCCCAGACCAAGTTTTGGCATATGCTTGAGATGATAATCATCAGACTACCCGGGCCTTACACAATAGGATGCAGCAAAAGGGAAGCTAATGATTAAGCAATCTGGTTCAATCATTCTCCAAGGAATGTGGTAAAAGCTAGAAAGCTTAAGTTTATTTGTGATTTTGTTACCTTGTCAACACCAGGTTTAAAAATAAGCCCTCAACATTTTTGCAGATTTTTTAAAATACTCATCCATCCTTTATCAACACACTGAATAGGAGTAGATACAGAAAAAGACAAGTGACATAAAAAGGGCAACTAAATTCACATTTCTTAAAGGCAAGTCAAAGAGCTACACACAGGTAGTCACCCACCAGAAATAGAAAGGCAGTGGAAATTCTTATGTATGACTTATAGCTCATCCATTACCAAGAGGAATATCCATGTGTGTTTCCATACTACCATGGGGCTGAATCAATCTGTGTATCTTGATCTAATATTAGGATGGAACAACTCCAAGTTGGAATAAAAGACAAACTCTCCCTTCTAGGGAAAGAGGTCCAACAAAATTAATATCCAGTCTTTTTTCTGAGAGGTTTCATGCTGCACACTAATTCTGTCTCACCAAACGCAATCACAGCCAACTAATTAGATCACCACACTCCTTCTACCACATGTACTGCCTTTGTTTGCTTCAGGCCAAAAGCAATCCAGCTGTGATTAAGATTCTGACAATTGCTGCACTGGAACAAAACCACAGTGTGTTTACACTGGACAAAGAGTGCCTTGAGCCTGCCACAGACCAGCTCCACTCCACCAGCAGGAGTTTTATCTGCAATGCTACAATAAATAGCATTTCAATCTGATACTTGTTATTGTCCTTCAACACATTTGTTTGCCAAAGACAGGCATGAGTTTGATGAGTCAAGCACCAGTTTCATAAATTTGCCAGTTTTCAGGGGAACAGCAACAGGCCCACAAGCTGCCTGCTCATCAGCACAGGGTACCACGACTGCCCCATCCCACAGCATCTGCTGCCATGATGTGGGGTCTCCTGCTTGTCACAAACACAAGATGCTGGCAACTGCTGGTAACAAGATTTCAACCATAACTTACACGATGTTTACAGCATCTGCAGGTTGAGTATCAGAGAAGAGCCCTTTTCCATTATTTCCTTTATCACCACTTAGGCTCATCAGTGGTGGGTTACCAGAACAAATAAAGGCTCAAACAGAAGAATTTTCATAAAGCATCAAAACACTAGAAATAAACAGTGCTTATTTTGCTCAGTGTTTATTTAAACAGTGTTAAAATAAACACCGAGATAAATATGAGCTATTGCACAGGCCACATTGATAATTTATATTCATTCCTGTAAAACTCAAACCCACTTTATTAATTATCTGAAGCTCCTGGGAAATATTTAGCAGTGCCACAGGAAACAGGCATCCAGCTACTGAATTTAAAACCAGCTTGAGAGAGTACAGAATCTTGCTGCATGGGAAAAAAAAAGCTCAAAATATTTGAAGAACTTCACTGAACCTCTTGAATAAAGAATCACTCATTTTGCAAAACACCTTCTTTCTAAAAAATTTGCAAGTGTTGCAGTACTAAGTTAGTAAGTCATTCCTGCCACCTTCATTCTCCAAAGACAATCCTCTAATCCATTATTAACATCTAGGTAATTTATCTACACACAGCAGGGGTAAAAATATGGAAGAGAGGTAGAAGAGGCATTAAGGTGAGCAGAGAGGAATACAGCACTCCAGCCAAATGACAGCATCAGCAATAAAACCCTTGGACCCAAAGATGGCAGCCAGTACAGGCTAGGAAACAAGTAAAATGAGAAAGAATTTCTGCATGGAGGGAAAAAAAAAAAAAGGCTGGGGTTAAAAAGACAAGATACATTCTATTCAAAGCAGTGGCACAGAATCCTTCCCTTTCTTTCTATTTCCCCCAGATAACACCCAAAAATTCCTCCAACCAACAGAGACCAAGGGGAAGCTAATGCCAGAAGAAAAAGCATCCTACCTCTGGAAAATCTCCTGCAGGGTTTCCCTAGTGAAGGCGTTGCTGTCCTGGAAGACATTGTTGAGGGCATGGAGGGCACACAGCTCTCTACGTTGCTTCTCATGGTAAATGTGCTGTGGCGGTAGCTGGGATGGCTCTGGCAACTCCGATTTGGTCTTGTCACCTTTCCATGGCACACAACTCATTTTCTCGATGGGCAGATGGGGAGTAGATGGTGAAAAATGAAGGAGGCTAAAGTTTCTGCCTAGACAGTCAGTGCTCCTTTCTTTTGTGGGCTAGCGCTGCTTCCAGCTTACAAATCCTCTTCTTGTGCTTCAGTTTATTCAGTAATTGCCTCTGACAGCTGGTTTTAAAAACCACATGAAGATCCGCAACCTCCCTCCTCCCATACCCCTTAAAATGTAGTATTTCCCCCCCTCCACAGAAAAAAAATTTAAAATGTCAAAACATACAATTCTCCTTAGTGTCAAGGTATCAGCTGGAATTCATCACATCGCTCCTTTTCTTCCATCTCCTTTGGTCTACAGTGCCACTAAAAAAAGTACCCAGACCAGGTAACAAGGTAAGGCCCAGCCCCGAAGTGCCAAAGGGAAGATGAAGCCAGCGCCTGGTACTGGTACTGCCTATAGGAGCACAGGGCGGTTAAGCACTTATCAGCTGCATTCCTCCATTCCTTTGGGAACGACTGAATCCCGGCAGAAAGATGCCAACAGCTCGGGAAAGAAAACCACTTCGTGCTAGGCCACGAGAAAGCCAAGTCCAGGCTGCGGGGAAGGCGATTCCTCACAGGTCACCCTGCTCTCCGACAAAGGGAAGTCTCCGTTAGCAACCAGAGGCAGCTCAAAGCCCGTGGGAGCGAGGGTAGAGCAGGCGGGACCACCCCCACGGCCTGCCTCGCACCTTTCCACCCCGCCCCTCCACCCTACCCGCTCACCACCACCAAAGCAACAACAACAACAACAACAACAGCCACCCAGGCGGGAGCCGCTTCCCAGGGCCAAGGCCCAGCGACCCCCGCAGCCCACCGCGCTGAGGAGACGCCCCCGTCTAACCCCCGCCCAGCCCCTGGGGCTCGCTGCTGTGCCGAGGCGCCCGCCCCTCCCCTCGGCAGCGCCGGCGGGGCCGGGCCGGGCCGGTCGGGCGCCGCCGCCCCGCTCCTCACCGCCCGCTCGGCCCCTCGGGCCGCCCCGCGCCGGCGCACGCGCGCGCCGGGCCCCGCTCGCGCCACTCTCGCGCGCGCACGCGCGCAAAACACACACGCGCGCGCGCGCGCGCCCCCCGCACGCGCCGGCGCCGGCCCCGCCCGCTCTGACGTCAGCGGCAAGACGAACCGACACAGAAGCGAAAGCGGTCTCACCGCCCGCTGAATAAACAAACGTGAATCCTCCCCCGGCTTCGTTCTGTGCCACAGGTTGGCGTCTGCGGCCGTGGTGCCACAAGCGTGCGTGTGGCTAGGCAGAGCAGCAGGACAGGCAGCTTTCCCCGCCGCTCTGCAGGAGTCACCTGCCCGTCCGCAGAGCCCCTCAGCCAGAGGCGTTTCCTCCTTGGCGCTGGAGTCCTGCCTGGCGGCCCCCGCCGGCGGTCTGAACACTGTGGGCTCGCATGGCGACCAGGCGTAGGGCTTTTCTGTAGGGAGCCCGAGGCGGTAGGTGCGGCGGGATCCTTTGCAAATCCCAGGAGCTGGCGGCACGACGCGCCGAGACAGGAGGGCCCTCGGACTGCAGGGACACCAGGCGCACTCCCACCCTGTTCCATTGGCTGACACAATTATCAGTAAAAAATCGCCTCTTTCTCACTGGCAATCCCGAGAGAATGCCCTCCCACTAGGGCGGGCTCTGTGGCAGCACTTAGTCCCACCCAGGCCTTTGAGATCCCTTATTCGATTGGCTGCCAAGGTTGTTTGTCAGGAAGCCCAGCTCTCCTATTGGACAGCCGGCCCCGCGCACGTCGAGAGGGCTGGGCTGTGTGTGTGTGTATGTGTAGAAAACAAGCCGAGCTGGCAGTGCTGCTCCCATTGGCTTCGCGCGCTTCGAGGGGGCGTGGCCTCTCTCATGAATAACCATTACTCCACCCGCTGTCGCCATGGCAACATGCAAAATGAGCCGCTGCGCCGCCGGTGATTGGCGGGCGCCGCCTTGGCGGGCCCGGGGGCGGTGCCGGGGCGGAGAGCCGGGCAGGGAAGGGAAGATGGCGGCGGCGGAGCGGAGCAGATCCCCGGTTCCCGGGGGGTCCCCGGTGCCGGCCTGTATGTTCGCCCCGGAGCCCGGCTCCCCGGGCGGACGGCCTCGCGTGGCGGCGGCCGCCTGTCCCCTCCGCGCAGCCTTCGATGGCGAGGACGGCGAGGCGCTCAACGGCGAGCCGGAGATCGACCTCACCAGTAAGGTAGGCCCGGCGGGGGGGCGGGCGGCGGCGAGCGCCATCACCCCGCCAGGCCCCCGCTGCTCTCCTCCCCGCCGCTCGGCCGTGCGCGGCGGGCTGCCCCCGAACCTGACCGCTGCCCCGCACCTCTCGCAGGAGAGCGGGGGGTTGGGGCCCGCCTGCCTCCGCCGGGACGGGAGGCTCCCCTGAGCGCTCCCCGGGCCCCAGCATCACCTGGGCGGGCAGCAGAACCGGAGGTGCCGTGTCGAGGCGGCCGGGAGAGGCGCAGTAAAGTTGTCCCGTACTCTGGCCGGGACAGGAGAGTGCTGGCAGGCTGCTCCGCCCTGCGCCTTCCCCGCCTCGGCTGCTCGGGGGCAACGCCAGCCCGCAGCCGGTGTAGCAGCCTCAGGAAGCGAAGGGTTTGGAGCTGTCAGCTGCTGCAACGTCCCCCCTCCGCGCTGGGTCTCTGTAGTTATCTCTGCTGCCAGTTGTACTAGTTCCTGGGACTTTCTCCACAATCTTAAAAGGACGTCAGAGCTTGTAACTTTTGAGCACAAGAGCCTAGTGACAAGGGTGCCTTGCTCTTGCAAACAGGGTTAAGTCAACGCAGAAAAGCTTGTTCGCCTTGTGCAGTTCCTTTCTAGGATCCCAGGGACAAAACTGTGTGGTGGCCTTATTTCTGTCAGAATCAGTTGTCGCTTCTGTCCTGTAGGAAGGTACATTGTAGTAATATGTGTGTGCCAGAGCCTGCTACAGACTACCTTAGTTGCCTTCTGTCACTGTCTTCTATTTTCTTTTCCTAACTGGCTGATCTCTTTAACTGTATACCTTTTGCTGCCATGGGTTTGGTGTACGTGGTGCTATCTCCCACTCTAACGTCTCCTGAAAACTTCATTTGGTTTGCTTGTAATTATGTGATCCAGAAGTCAGCATAGCTGTTGTTTCCTCCTTGTTTTCTGTCATACCTCCTCTTCATGCTTCCAGCTGAAGTTGTTCCAGAGTTCTGAACTTTCTTGCCCTCTATACACAGAGGAGGAAAGAGGAAATGTATCTGTGTACATGGAAACCTTTTTATTTTTAATGGCTATTTTACACTGTGGTACTGTATTAAAACAAATGTTACGAAGATGTCTTGTAAGATAGTAAAGAACACAAATCAAACCTGTAGTATCTATTGATCGTGCCTTAATGAGCTGGACAAGATTTTTGTACAGGATGCCAGTATTGATCTGTGCTTTGTCTTGGATGTGACTGCTGTGGAAGAGGGCCAGGGAGGATGCCAAGGACTGCATCACTGATTCTTGACAGCCAGGAACCTGACCAAAACTCCAGCAAAGAACGAAGAGTGCTTTTCTCCCACAAACTCCCATTTGTGGTGTCAGTCTGTCTTCCATTCCTAGAAATCTGGAGGTGCTGTGGAGGTGGTAGGTAAGCATTTTTTTGATCTTTATTATAATTTACTTTTCTATACAGCATTGTGCAGCTGCTGTCTTTTCCCTGGACTTTTCATTCATCCCCACCTTGGATGAGAGCTGAAACTGTGAGCTCTGCTCTGTCTTTTAGTTAATCTCCCACTGTGTGCTCAAAACAGCAATCCCATAGGGTGAGAATACAGTAGCTAACCTGTGCCTCCCTGACCTCCCCACCCCATCCCCACCACCCCCTCCATCTTTTCTCCAGTTGAATTATTCCACTCCAGTCCCTACTTAAAATGGGGACACCCACTGCAATCAATTTGTTTGACAGTTGCTAGTTCTGTCCTGGTCCTTCTGACCCACCCCATGGCTGTGTTAATACTTTTCCCTCAGTCCTTTCCTGTGCGTAAGGTGAGCTCTTCTTAGAGGGGAACACTTTGGGATTCTCTTATCAAGTGCACCTAGTCAGCTGGTCAGGGAAACAGTTCCATTCATCAGCACAAATTCATTACCATGTTGATCTTAATGGGTGCTTGTTTTCCCTTCAGTGCCAGCACACTGCAGCAGTAATCAACTTTCAGGTCAAAAACCATAGCACACAAGGCTATTAGTGAAGCTGATACTTATATTAGATCTACATTGACAACAGAACATAATAGCACCTGAACAATGTATGTCTACAGGGCATAGAAAACAAAATATGACACCACAGAAGGTACCTCTACCCCAGCTATTCAATGGCTGATGGTGGCTTTCCAGCTGTGCAAATATCAAGCTCTGTTTTTCTAGTAAAGAGCAGCACTATGTACCACATAGTATTTGGTTTGTCTTTAATACTTACAGTTTGTCTGCTTCATGGAGGCAGGCAAAACCACCTCTCCGCAGAGACTGGGAGGGGACTTGAGAGATGGCATTTCAAACTTGTGAGATGTTTCTTTCCACTGTCTTAAGAATAAAACAATAACTGGTTGTCACTTTTTTGCCTTATAGGAAACCTGAGTTTGCTATACCCTCATGGCTCCTAGTGGTAACTGCTCAGTGCCTGACAAAGTGGAAAGAACAAAAGTGAACATTTTTGACTTCATGAAAGCCTCTTAAAAACATGCATTCATAGTGCAGGCATGGAGGGCTTGCTCAAAGGTGAGAAGCAAAAAAAAAAGCAGAGGAGCCAAAATGGACGGCTTCTCTTCAACCAAGGAGATGGCAGAGGACAGGCTCTCTCCATCCAGGAAGTTAAAGAGATCTTCAAAGCAGCGTGTCACATCTTGCAGTGGTGCAGGAAACTACACAACGGCTGAGGCTGCAACTGCAGAAACAGTTGTCAGAAACACTGAGTGGTATTGGAAGGTGTGATCCATGAAAGCGGCTGTTTTATCTACAGATACTTCTCTTGATGTCCTACTATGTCATATGAGCTTCATCAGCTGTGGAGTAAACTTTGGAGGCAGTCTGCTACTGGAACACCCTTCAGGAGCACCTTTGCATGGCAGTGAAAGCAGCAGTGTGGGGGAACAGTGTTGTGGGCTGATGTGAGAGAGCCTGTGCTGTTTGAGGCCCCCAGCCCTCCTGCCTGGCAACATGACGAAAGGGTACAATGAGCTGCTGGCTGCCTTGGTACTTGTTACAACACCCTGCCTGCTCACACTGCTGAAGCACTTGGACTCAGAAAAACAAAGCTGGTGATGAGACTTGAAGAAACTGAAGTTAATTTGCCCTGTGCTGGTGGCCCCTGCTATTTTATTGATCTTTGTGTGTGTTACAGCCTGTTTAATAGATATTCCTGAGTCTTTGGCTTGTGCTGGTGCACTGTCCTATAGAGTGAGCTTGTCTGCTGTGCATCCAGGTATTACTGAAAGTACTTGCAGGGCAAAATGAACCCTACACATCAAAATACAGCCATACATTCCTGCCCGGATTGAACCTCTCTACAGTTGCTGATTTCACTGTCAGTGCATTTACATCCAGTGGTTTCCCTCAAGAAGAAAATGAAACTAAAAGGAAAACAGAACTGAAAGGAAAACTAATAAAAGCAAAACTCATTATTTTATAGCATGAAATAGAAAGACTGTGACCTTGCAGAGCAGAGTGCTTTGGTACACTTTGCAGACCATGCCAAGTAGTTGTAAGGCTTAGGTAGGGCATATGTCCAAAAGGGGCACGTGAAGGTGATTGTATCTCTTATAGCTGTCTGGCCCTTGCAGACACATCCCTGCTGTCTAGGACCCTTAACATCTGTGGAAAAAGTTGCTTTGGCAGCCTTAAAATCTTCTAACCAGCACCTGCTGTCTGTGCTTCAGTGTCCCAGCACGCGTCACTATGGTTTTGGAAGCTGCTTAAACGTTATTTGTGGGGGGTTGGGTTCTTTTACATTCTAGATTTCCAAAAAAGGCATTCATCAAGTGTGTAATGGTGGTGGTAAAGATAGTTTCTCCTTGAACATTGCGTTAACTGTGCTAAGCAAGCCAGGCTGTGTTAGTGAATGTTGGGCAGACTTGAGGATGTTATCGTCAACTGCTCTAAACCATATGTTTTAGGCAAACATCTAATTTAGCATAGCTTTCTGTCTCAGTGCTTAGTGAAGGGAAGTGCTTCTTTCTGGGTATGATTTTGGGGCGTGTATGTAGGGACAACTGTGGATGTCACTGAGTGTTGGCACAGGTGTGCCTACCCTTAGGGCTCTTGGTGGGTGTCAGCCTTTAATAACTGTTACTAAGAGTGCCTTTTTCACAGAAATGTAGATCTCAATTGCTACAGCTGTCAGGCTGCTGTACTGGGATGCTCAGCCACCAACAGATTTGTAACCATGGAGGCAGCCAGAGAACAGGTAGAGTGGCTGATGGAGGTCTGCTTGGTCTGTCACTGCCATGCCACCATTGTGGCTGCTCTGTGGAAGTTTTCTCAGCTGTACTGTGTGAGCAGTGCAGGTTTCTGCCAGAAATGGTGCTATTCCATTCTAGGAAAAGAATTCCTGAAGCACTCTCTTGTCCTCATTTCCTGCTTTATTTCTGTTTTATTTTTTCATTCTCTTGATGTTGCTGCAGGGAAGGGCAAAGGAAGTTTGATTATTACAATGGCTGCAGTCAAAGTTTGTTGGTAGCACAGCTGCCGGCCTACAAAACTGCAGCTCTCCACTGCTGAAACCTCCAGATGTGCTCATATAAATTGCTTTGCCCCTCAGCACTGTTGTGTAAAGTACCTAAAATTTGAAAATAATGTTTATTCGTGTTCTCTCCTTTCCTTCTGCCCCCTCAGAAAACAGAAGGGGACATCAAATATGTGAAAGACTTAAAAGATGCTCTGGATTTTGGTGCCCAGGTGTTCTCTGCAGTGAGGTCTGGTTGGCTTTCTCTGGCTGTCCAGTCATGTTTCAGAGAAGCAGCAGCACTCTTCACAGCAGAGGCTGTGGAGTATCCAGCTAAGGAATTTCTGTGGAGAAAATATCTGCTCCCCTTTCTGTTTTCGTTGAATGAAAACATATTGGAGTGTTCACTTAAATGTGGCTTTTAAACATTGGTTACATCAAAATGAGATGCTTGGTATTCTTACTTGCTTTGAAGTGTATTTTCCTGCATAAATGAACTCTGAGTTCAGACAAACAACCTTGTGCCATGGCACAAGGAAATAGCTGTCAGCAAAACTGGTGTAAAAAAGAAAACAAAACCACCACAAAGCGGTCCTGGAAAAAGAGTACTTCTCTTTCAGTAAAACACATAGATTGATTGTGCTTGTAACTGAAGCTGGATTTGAAATTGTTTGCCTGACATCTGCAAATGGATATTCAATCTTTTTTTCCAGCTGGTGATGGTGAGTCCAACTTCAGAGCAGTATGACAGTTTGCTCCAGCAGATGTCAGAGAGGATTGATGAGGGATGTGGGGAGACCATCTATGTCATTGGACAAGGATCGGGTGAGTATAGCTTCTCCAGGAAAACAACAAAAAAATCTTAAAATTATAAGAAAAACCTAGTTCATCTAACTAGACTGCTGCTGCAGGTAGTGCTTATTTTTCCAGAATAACTTGAAAATGTCTATAAAACATAGCAGAATATGTGGGACAGATTCTTTTATTTTATTCCTGCCAACAACTATCTCATGTAGTGGAGCTAAACATATTTTTTTTATAATCATGCAAGTTCTTTTTTGGAAATAAGACATACCTTGTCTGAGCACACCAGGAAAAGACAAAGAATCTAAAATTACAATAACAGCTTTAGTACAGATGTCCTCAATGTCTGTGAAGGTCTTGTTCTGTCTGATTTTGTTCACTGCTCTGTTGGAAATAACATATTTTTACCCCACAGGAATTTATTATAGATACTTCACATAGCTAAAATATATGCTGCTGACTTTGTGTTAGTATGTGTCTGCTATAGAGGGAAAGGTTTTCCTTTGCTCAGCATGAGACCTTTATTGTCATATTAATTTGAGTGTGACTGCAGCCTTTGCAGATTTTAGCAGTTAGCATGGATTGCATTTTTGTTCTTTTTGACAATTTAAGTATTTGCATCTGATGCTGGTAAAGGGCAAAACATGCCCTTGCTTTGAAATAGAAATTTCTGAATATAAAATAATTGTCTATGGTTATCATAAAGTGAAAGGCGTGTTTCAAGTATACTGGATATCTGCTGAATATGAAGTTGTCATGATCAGGCATTTGCTGTGTTTGAGGAAAAATATGAAACCCTGCCAGGATTGGCTGAAATAATGGAGGGATGGGGCTGTGTAACCTCAGAACTGTGTGCTTTTTGGGTTTTCTTGGAGTTTCGTGAAGCAGCCAACATAGAGGAAAAGTTATAATTAAATAGCCTGTGTTCATGCAGTCAGGGATTATGCTCTTTCCTCCAAGCAAGCTTCCCACATGTAGACTGTATCCTTGGTGCTTGGGATAAGCACATCTGCAGTGGAGATCTAGCTAGACAGGCTAGTACCTGCTTTTTCTTCTAGGATACCTTGTGAGAGTATTAACTGGTGGTTGTTGCAATTATTTACTTAGAAGTAGGCATTTGTTTCTTAAAATATGAGGCTAAACTTCTGACTTCTTTTTGGGTTGCAGTGTAGTCGAGGAAGATGGGGATATTTTCAACAGAGAAAAGATTTTGGTATCCCTAGCCACTGTTGCTCCTTCTCCATCCCCTTTTTAGCATCTGTGATTTTGATAATCCCAGATATCCAACTCTGAGCTGACTGAGAAGCAATTGAAGATTGCCATAGGAAGATGAAGTAGTGACCTTTCCCTTTCTCCCTTGGGTCTTGCCATCTCCTGTTCCCTACTTCTCGTTCCCCTCCTATAACCCCTCCTATAACCCAAGGCTTGTTTTAGATTTCCTCCATTTCAGCCAGCTTAGGAGCAAGGTTGGAAACCACCCAGTAACTCTGCTAGTTTTGGAGCTGGGCAGTAATTAAAATGCTGATAAGTTCATGCAAACTGCAGTTCCTGCTTACCAGCCAATGAGTCAGCCATGATTATGATCACGTACACATGGCAATAACTTTGGTCATCTGGGTGCAGTGTGGCTCTCCACCTTTGTTTGTTGTTTTGTGGGAATTTTTTACCCACAGAGGAGATTCTGGGGTCAAATCTGTGCGCCTTCCCAGCACCTGGATTAGGAAAAAGACAGTGATGGCCTTGACCTTGTCTAGATAGTTACCCACTGGCATGCTCTGACTGTCAGCTCTTTTGCCTGGGTGAGCTGCTCAGAGGAAGCAATGCCACATTTACTGGCTAATTGTGGTGATGATTCACTCAGAGCTTTTCTTTTTTTATTGCTTTACCTCTTCTTGCAATGTAAGAGATACTTTATCTGACTGAAGGACATAAAATACCGTCAGCATGTGAAGTAAGGGAATGAGACAGAAATGTGACTTTCTTGCCAATCCCTATGTATTTGCTTGTAAAAATTATGAAGAAAACTCCTCTAGTTTCATCTAGATGAAAGATGGTGGTTTTCTAGTGTCTTTTAAGAATCAGAGTGAAGACCACCCCTTTTTATTTTGGGCCAAGCGCGTTTACTCCGTGTACATGGCTGACATCTCCAGTCCACATATAAATCCCGATGGGTACGAAGGTCCCAGGCAGGATGACAGTGCTGCTGCCTGCTGCAAGGTGCTGCTCACTAACTGCCCTTTGTCTCTTCCACACCACACCAGATGGGACTGAGTACGGGCTGAGTGAGGCAGACATGGAGGCGTCCTATGCCACGTTGAAGAGCATGGCAGAGCAGATTGAGGCAGATGTGATCCTCCTGAGGGAGCACCAGGAGGCCGGGGGCAAGGTGCGCGACTACCTCGTTCGGAAACGTGTGGGTGACAACGACTTCCTGGAGGTCAGGTGAGGAGCCGGGTGGAGACAGTGTTAGTCAGCAGCTCAGCTGCATTTTTACCGTGTGAGCAGTGCGTGGGTGCTGAGCCAGCAACGCCGCTTCGGGTCTGGGTGTTGGAGCTACCCCACAAAGGGAGTCGTGCTTGACCACTCCTTGCTGATGAAATTGCCTTTTTGTTGATGTTGCTGTCTCCTTTGTGAGCAAACTGTTGGTGGAAATTTGCCTGTGTTTAGCAGAGGGCTGTTGCTCTCTGGGTGACAGCCTCACAGTTGAGGGCATCTTTTAGTATGCTTTGTTGCCAGAGGAGAGTCACGTGTGCACATGTGGCTGTATGTATGTGTATATATGCACACTACTGGAAGACAATACTTTTGACAGAGGATTCAGTTCTGTTCCAAGACTGTGATGATCCAAGTCACCTTTTAATAGACATATACTAGCTTATATAACGTGACTTGAGAGTCTGCCCAGACCTGGATGGAGAGGATTTCCAACATTTGCCAACAGCCATAATAGCCACATTCATCAAAGAAAGAACTTGCTATAGGACATGGCTTCCTCCTAAAGTATTTCACTTTTTTTTTGAGCTTATCCGTTTCTGGGAACAACAGTTTTAATTTTTGTGCTCTTTTTAGCACTTGGTGCTGTTGCAGCATAAGAAATGTGAGAAAGGCAGAGGTGTTCTAGACCAAGTTGGGATTTAGTCTTCCTTTTGAGTTGCCACAGTGTTTATGTTGGATTGCAGAGACAAGGAGTTGGAATAGAAACACTTTGTGTGGCATCAAGCAGCATCACATTCAGTTGACTATGTTTTGGACACCAGTGACATGTTTCCACAGTCTTCCAAATCCTGGTCCCCAGAGTCTGGGATCTCCACTATTAGTTAATAACTGTAAAAGAATCTCTGTTTGCGAAGCTCTAACATTCTCTAGTCTCTGTTTGAAGGATAGGGAGCAAAAGTCAGTTGTTTTCAAGAGCAGTGATGTTTGGGTTTTTTGGATCACTTGTTCATTTCTTCAGGTACCATATTTTACTGGGCTTCTTTTCCTTTCCCCTGCAGGGTAGCAGTGGTTGGCAATGTGGACGCAGGGAAGAGCACCTTGCTGGGTGTCTTGACTCACGGCGAGTTAGACAATGGCCGGGGCTTTGCTCGGCAAAAGCTCTTCCGCCACAAGCACGAGATTGAGTCAGGTCGCACCAGCAGTGTGGGCAATGACATTCTGGGCTTCGACAGCGAGGGCAACGTGGTGAACAAACCTGACAGCCACGGTGGCAGCTTGGAATGGACAAAGATCTGTGAGAAATCCACCAAGGTCATTACTTTCATTGATCTGGCTGGTCACGAAAAATACCTGAAAACCACCGTGTTTGGCATGACCGGCCACTTACCTGACTTCTGCATGCTTATGGTAGGTAGCAAGAAAGATGGACCATACCAGCTGGAGTGGGGTTGTTCACAGCTTTAGCAGCCTTAGCCTTTTTTCCTGTTGCAAAGTACCTGTGGGGTTTTGGAGGGAGGCAGCATCTCACAGTATAGGAGAGCAGAAGCCTCTGTGGCTATCTGTCCTGTACTGTGAGGCATGTGCCCCAGGACTGTTAGTCCCAGACAAACCCAAGGTTTGTGATTCTTGAAAATGGAAAGATTTCTGAATTTTAGAAAACCTTGTTAAAACTGGGGAGAAATGAGTCAGTCCTCTGCCAGTGTCCAGTGGCATCTGAGATGAGCTGGGTCTGATCATATGGCCCCAGTGGCACATCTACAACCTAACCACAGTCTACTGCATGTCTGACACAAGACCTTCTCTGTATTCCAGCTTACTGCAGAAGGAACATTGACATCCATGTATTTTATATCCCTGGTGTAGGTTGGGAGTAATGCTGGGATTGTTGGAATGACCAAGGAGCACTTAGGCCTGGCGCTTGCACTTAACGTTCCTGTCTTTGTTGTGGTGACCAAGATTGACATGTGCCCTGCCAATATCCTGCAAGGTGAGTCTTACAGGCTCTCTCCAGGGCTGTTTCTTACCTCTGTATGTGTTGCTGTCCTCTGCTTGGGTTCAGGAATTACTGCTGGAAGAAAGCTGCTTAATCTGGTTCTGATTGCATCCTAAACACCGTCCAGAAATCTACCATTTTCCCTTGCTCATTTTGCAGATGGTTGACTTACACTCACTGTCAAAATTACCCACCCTGGGGACTCAGCAGCCCAAAAAGTGTTTGCTACACTTTTGTAGTAAAGTGTTTGTTTAATTGAGCTCTAAGAGGAGCAGCATACAGTTGGGGTTTGGGCTTTGCTTTCTCACGGAATATTTAAAGCTGGAGGAAAAGTCTGGAAGTTCTTTTGAAAGCTGCCTTCCTCCTGGCCCACAGTTTGAGTGTGATTTTAAGCTGTGAAATCAGGACTTGATCTCCCCCTGCTGTTACTGAAGGGGCAGCTGCTTGTTACCTCCTGCTCACCTGGGCACTTCTCAGGTATGCTGGCATAACTACAGCAGCTCCTTCCTCTTGTCTGAACAACTAACCAACACTTAGCAAATCATGGTTTGAAGCAGCTACATATGTAGGCTATGGTAGCAGGATGGGAGGCAGGACTAGACACAAACAGGGATGGCAACAAGTAGCATGGGCTAGTGATTTTTTTCTCAGCAGAGTTAAAGAAGCACCTCTAACCCCAGCAGTGTCCCATTAACCCATGCATGATGTTTTTTCAGTCTGTGACCTATTCCTCATTTTTTAAATTGTCTTGAAGCATTTCTCATGCCTTCAGAAACATGCTGTGGTTAATTGGAGCAATGAGGTTTTTTAAATAATCAGTCCTAAGAATCAGGGAAGTGAATTCTCCTAGTACTGTTTGTAGTTCAATGCATTACTATAAAAATCCTAAATATGTTTCAGGCAAATAGATGCATGTGATCAGAAGATAATCTGTATCTCTCTATACTAGATGTTTGGCAAATAAATGTAAGGCCTGACCATAAGATAATAACTGGGAAGGAAGGAGAGCCTTTGGCTCAGCGTGAGGAGAGAAGAGCTGCTCTTGGGAGAAGCTACTCCCGTGACATGCTCTGTTTAAAGTAAATAGACTCAAGATTTGACTCACGTATATCTGTGAAGAGCAGGTGGCCTGATTAGATGTTTGTGTTTCTGTATCCAAAACATTACTTTCCCATAGGCAATCACTTGTTTACAAAAACTAGTCTAATTGGATGACAATTGTCGAACAGTAATTATTTGCTCTTTTAAGCCCTTATTGCCCTTTTCTGTTTTTTCTTTATTTATTGTCAGGCACTTTGTAGGAGGTTGATACTAGTGCATCAGGTAATGCCTCTGCTGGCTGCTGGATATGAGGCCTAGGAAATAAGTTATAAAGAGGCAAAAGCTGAAAATTGGAGCCATGAGATTTATCCTAAAACACTGATTTCTGAATATGGTCCACGTACATTGTTCTAGTCTATGATTATAATCTTTACCTCTTTCATGCTTCTCCAGCCTCTTATGGCAAGTTGACTGCCAGGAAAAATGTATTGAGATGTGTTTGGTCAGAATAGATTTGCAATTTGCATAATCTCAAATATTTCTGTCACTGAGTCCTGATTTTCAATTAATTCACTATGAAAAATCCTTTCTAGAAAGACTGCTTAAAGCTACTAATAGACAGCTACAAAATGCCTACTTCACAGCATTGCAAACTTGTCTGTCTGTTCGTGTATAGTGTTGCTTGGCAGCAGGCTAGCTGGCGTGAAGTGGAAGATGGAATGGCTCCTAAGTCCTACCTAGACTGCAGCAAACTCACAGTCTCACCTTTAGCCATCTTCTCCTGTCTTATCTGTGGCCAGAGCACCCATCTCCCTTTGGGGAGAGACCCCACAAAAGTGATTTGTAAAGAGGGGAGATGCTGCCCTAACAATATTCATTTCACCCTTTAAGAAACCCTGAAGCTGTTACAGCGACTGCTGAAGTCCCCAGGGTGCAGGAAGATTCCCGTGCTGGTTCAGAGCAAGGATGATGTCATTGTAACAGCCTCCAACTTCAGCTCAGAGAGGTAACGGGAGTAGAGGAGAATCATTTCTCTTTCAATCCTATGTGGAGACTGGGTGAGGAGATTTAGAGAGTCCCATTGTCTAGATGTGTGAAGGTTGCATCTGCCATGTGGAGTGTGTTCCATAAGAGTGTGTTGATTTTGAGGCTGACCTGCTTGTATTCCCCTCTCTGAGGCAGAAATGAGAGGCTACTCCTGGGCAGTCTGCAGAAGACAGCAGGGCATTCAGCTTCCTGCAATCCTTTCTTCAGAACCTTACACCTTTTCCCAAATGTCATTGGAAGGCAGAGGCAATGTTGCAGGCTTTCAAACATGGGGTGTTGTGCATCTGACTGCTTGCCAGGCTCTCCCTTTCTAGCACAGTATATTGAATTAGTCCCAAGATTTTGGATGTCTCCCTACATGTAGAAAGCCAGGTAGGAAGGTGAACTAACTCAATTTTCATCAATTTTCCTTTACAGGATGTGCCCAATTTTCCAGATTTCAAATGTTACTGGGGAGAATCTAGATTTGCTGAAGATGTTTCTTAATCTCTTGTCTCCACGGACCAGTTACAGGGAAGAAGAACCAGCAGAATTCCAGATAGACGATACTTACTCTGTCCCGGTAAGGGGCCTAGTATTTGGAAGAATATTCTGTTCCTTCTTTTAGGCTGAAGAAGGTATCTTCTCTAGAGAGGAGAGTTCTAGAACTCTTCTGCTGGCCTGGTAGAGTAACCACAATTACTGGTTTTTCTTTCTTGGTATAGGGTGTAGGAACAGTTGTCTCTGGGACGACACTGAGAGGGCTGATCAAGCTAAATGACACTCTGCTGCTGGGGCCAGATCCCCTTGGCAACTTCCTCCCTATTGCTGTCAAGTCCATCCACCGCAAGAGGATGCCCGTCAAGGAGGTGCGGGGAGGCCAGACTGCCTCCTTTGCCTTGAAGAAGGTGAGATGATCTCCTCTAGACCCCCAGAACAGGAACTGCTCTCTTAATTTTCACGTATTCTTGGAGTTCAGCTGCAGTAAGGCTGTTTCTACAAACATCAGCTTCCTCATGTTGCAGTTGAATGGAATCCCATAGAACCTTTGTGTTTCCACATCCAAGTTTTTCCTCCGAGGAACTGCCAGGGGATAGCAATGCCACTAGATAATGATGTTGGAGATAGCTAAGAAAGTGGAGGCATTGCAAGAAAAGTCTCCTTTTGTGCTGGAACTGCATTAGTAGCCTGCACAGTGTATTTATGCTACTCCTCTTGCTTGTAGGACCAGCTGCATGATTTGGGATTTAAAAATCAGCAAAATTTGATACGACTCTTCTTGCAAAAGGTTTCTGTCAATAGAAGCTGCACTGATTTTAAGGGGATATATTTTAAGCTACACCATACTTCATGTGTCCGGGTTTATCATGTTATATTAACAGATCTCATTATTTAGGAGAGATTGTTTTCTTGGATAATGTGCAACCAGGATGTTTGTTTTGCTTTTAAAGGATCAGTGAGGTAAATGTGTCCAGCATTTCCAGTGCCTTAAAGCTTCTTTGTAAACTTCAACTGAATTTGATTTTTGCAACCTTTACATAATATCCTATACATAACATACAGCTATGCAGCTCTTGCTTTGCCTTTTGCTGGGCATGAGGTAGTATCTCTGAAATCCCTTAGGATTCTGCTGGATGCAATCAGCCAGAGCAGTAGATTTCTTCTCTAGAGAATTATGCTAAGATTTTTTGTGTCTCTGCTTTTCAGATCAAGCGTTCTTCTATACGGAAAGGCATGGTAATGGTATCACCACGCCTGAATCCACAAGCATCGTGGGAGTTTGAAGCAGAGATTCTGGTGCTCCATCACCCCACCACCATCAGCCCACGATACCAGGCCATGGGTATGTGTGTCAGTGTTGTCTTTGTTTCCCAGTGGTAGCATTTTGTATCAGATCTAGCACAATATAATTTTGCTCCTGATGTCTCTGCCAACCTGAATATATGTCACAGTTCCTAGTTTTGCCTTTCCCAGCATTGTGGAAGGGAGCTTACAGAGGAGAGTTGTGGGGGCTATAAGGTAAAAAGGAGATGTGTGCTCTCAAATGTACCTGGAGTCTGCCTGTGCTGTATCTCCATGGTGCAAAGATTCTCCACTTTCAAATGTTGGTGGAAAGGGCTGATGCTCATTTTGGGTCCTGCCCTCTAGCCCAGCTGCTTGGTGTGTAGGATTCTGTTGAGGGTGCTTCAGGACAGGCAGGATTTGAAGGCAGCTGTTCTAGCTTATATGCATGTTCTTTTTGGGATGGAACAAAGGCAGCTGTGTGACCCATACAAACTTTGCTGTAGGATGAGGAGCTGCTCAGATGTCTCTGAAGCTTGTTCCACTAATGGGCCTGGCTGCTGAAAGCCTCTGTGCTTTATGTTCACAGTGCATTGTGGCAGCATCCGTCAGACGGCCACGATTCTCAGCATGGACAAGGACTGCCTGCGGACAGGGGACAAAGCCACGGTGCACTTCCGCTTCATCAAAACCCCGGAATATTTACATATAGACCAGCGGCTGGTCTTCCGGGAAGGCCGCACCAAAGCTGTGGGTACCATCACTAAGGTAAAGGCTGCCGAGTCCCACTTGCTTTTGCCCATTAGCTACTTCTTGCACTGCGAAGCCAGGAGAATCAAGATAGCTCTGAAAGATTGAGGGAAGAGGCTGTGCTTCAACCACAAGCATCAGGCCTGACATGGGTCAAGGATGACCAGTGTGCTTTGTCATGTGGTGGGTCTTTAGCTGGTGTGAATGAGGGAATGTAAAGGGAGGGGCTGAGCCATATGCTGCTGGTTCTTAAGGCTCAGTCTCTTTCTGACATCTTGTAGCTGGTCCATTTGAAACATGTTGTGGAGGTTAGTCACCTCAGCCAAGTGGTCCTTTCCAAGGGTAGAAGATCAGAGGTCTAGGTTTCTTCAAACAGCTGCTGCTGCTGCATTCTTGTCCTTATGGTTATTTTTACAAATTCTCCTGAGGCTTTTTATAAAAAGCAACACTGAACCTTGCCAGATCAGCCAGCTATTTCAATGCTGAGTTTGGCCTCTCCCTTTGCAATTTGTAGCTACTCCAGACCACCAATAACTCACCAATGAACTCCAAACCACAGCAAATCAAGATGCAGTCAACAAAGAAGGGAGCTGTTACGAAACGAGAGGATGGTGTTCCTGCTGCTGGGATGGCAGCTGGAGGCCCAGCAGCTGGGGATGAGGCCCCCTCAACAGCTGCAGCACCACTGACACCTACTGCCCTGCAACCATTGGTAAGTGAAGAAAATAACCATGTCTGTCCTAGCTATTTGTGTCATGGTTTCACCTGTTGGAGGAAGGGCACAAGTATTATCCCCTCATATCTCGAACTCACCTTGCCACAGGAACAAATAGAAATGTAAGTAGTCTTACAGCAGGAATCATAATTCTCTGATGACTGGATGACTCCCATGGCTGACCTTCAACAGACTGCAGTTCAGGGTACTGGGACAATTCAGGTTGGACCTCAGGAAATATATAGTCTAACCTCCTTCTCTAAATAGGATTAGCTGTGAGGTCAGACCAGGTTGTTCAGGGTTTTATCCAGTCGTGACTTAAAAACCTCCCAAGGGGGAAGACTGCACAACCTCCCTTGGCAACCTGTTTCACTGCTTTGACAATGTGCACAGTGAAGCAAGTGTCTCTATATACCCAGTAGCTGAACTAGTGAAACATACAACAACCAGTCATAGAACAAGTCTTCAGTATCTGAATGAGAGGTAGAATATCCCTACACTAGAAAAATTACAACCTAAGTATTAGGCACAGGTCGTGTACTGTGTCGAAAAATAAGGATGGGGACATCCAAGAAGAAGGAAAGGCTTTAAATTTATCTTTAGAGAAATGCATCCAGGTTGTTTTTTTGGTTAGGACTTCTCAGTTCAGCTTGTCCATGGAAGATACCTAGCCTTTCTGGCCTGAAGGGAATGGAAACTCAATTCTCACAGCAATTCTTCTATCAGTAATAAAACTGCTGATCAGTTTTATTACTGATAGAAGAAAGGTCCCCTCCTTGTTCCTTCCTCGGGAAATGAAGGGTTCAGGAACCAACCATCAAGTGACAGAGTGTTCCCCTTCTTAATTCTAGCTATATTAGTTGCCATGGTCAAATCTCACCCTCTTGAGCCAGACTGCTCATCAAAGGAGGCCCCCTTGGCAGGGGTTCTCTCCCTCTGCATATCCCTAGGGCTTCACACCAGTCCTCTATCCTGTCCTTGTCTTTTTGTAGCGTCACTGTGGTTGTAAGTAGTGGTCCCAGCTCATTCTTTGCTTCATCCCTCTCCTCTAAGGCCCTGGGTTGCTTTTGTTCTTGCTTACATCTTCCTCTCTCTCCTTGCTGCATCCCCTCAGCCTGCACTGGATGAAGAGCCCCACATCCGTGAGGGCAATAAGGTATTTGGCTGCTCTCAAAGAGAAACAGTGGGTTTGCTGAGGTTGGGAAAAGAGTCAGGCGAGCCTGAGAGCCATGGTAGGGGGTGGGGGGCTCTCCTTCAATTCTGTACAAAGTCAAGGGAGCCTGAGGCTTTGATTTCCTGTATGCTGAGCCCCATGGCACTTGCTGGCTCTCATGAGAGTGAAGCATTTAGAAACTTGGGAAATCAAATTCTTCCCAGCTCGAAGGGCAAAACTTCCTGGTGCATCTGTCTCTCCTCCTTCCCTCATGGTGTGTCTGTCTCCCTCCTGCCTTATCTCCTTCCTGCAGTGGTAGAAAGCTGATCAGTCACAGCTGCCCTGCTGCTGTCTGAATGTGTGTGTGATCCATCTGAATTCCTGCTGTTTTGATGTCCCAACAGAGGGGTTGCTTTGCACTAAAGTCGGTCTTGTTTTTCAGTCAAAAGTCGGAGGAGGAGGCCGTCGACGTGGGGGTCAGCGCCATAAAGTGAAATCTCAGGGAGCCTGTGTGACTCCTGCCAGTGGCTGCTGAATTTCTTATTTCTCCTCTCTCTGAAGAATTCCTCCCCATCCCTTCATTTCTTATCCAAAACATCCAGAGCAGCGTAAACCAAAACCCATCCCAGCAGATTGGCTGCAGAAGAATCGTCCCTCCTCCCTGCACGAAGCAATGGAGAGGAGCATAATTTATAAGCTAATGAAGGTGGTAAGACAGAACTGAGTAACTGACACCTTCCTCCTCCCCCTGTCGACACATTTTTGTACATCATGGGCTTAGTTTTTATTCTTATTAGTTTTTATTATATTTTGTGTGCATGAAGATGAGAGGGGAGTCTGGATAGAGCTGCGAAGAGCCAGTTAGTTGCCTCCCTCCTCCCTCACCCCTTTCTGTCCACAGGACTTGCTGCTCTCCCCTATTTGCTGTCTCAGATCCAGGGATTATCAGATGCCTGAAATTTCAGACTTGCATAGGTTAAAACAGGTTGTTTAGGATGGCTCCATGGAGCATTGTTTCATCATCACTGTGGCCTTGTGCCAAACATGGTTTGGATTCCCTCCCTTTTAAACTATTTCTAAGTGGATTTAATTTAATGTTGTAATGACTGAAGTTTGAAGGAGATGGTGAGAAAGTTCTTTAGTAAGATATCTAAGAGGGAAACAAATTGGAAAGCAGTTGTTGATGTTAAGTTCAGGGATCCTATGCTCAATATCCTCAAATAATGTTGAAAGCACTTAAAATTTTAACTAGCAACAGAGTTAAATGGGCAGGCATTTACCCACCCAGTTCCCCTTCCCACCGTGCTGCTTTTCCTAGTGTTTGTTCAGTGCACATTGGAGCACATCTAACCTGCCTTCCAAGGCTGCAGCAGCTCCACTGACAGTATTAAGAACAGTGCAGGAGCACTCAGTCCGTCCCTTGAGCCAGAGAAAGCCTTCTTACGTCGACGGACAGAGGTCAGAGGTGGTAAGATACCTTTGGAACAGAGACATCAGGCTAACATGACCTCCCCTTGATTTTGTTTACTCCAAGATATCCAAAACCTTTTTGGAACTCACTGGCCAAACTTTGCCATGGCAGATGCAGGATTTGTCTTCCCCCCTCTTGGCCAAAGAGGGCAGTGACAAATTGGTACCAAATTTATAGAAGTGCTTTCAACGTTGGAAGTACATGGTAATTTTTCTGACTTTCACTTATTTTTTTTTAAGATTTTATTTTTCTTACTGAGAAATTCTGGCTTCTCCAAGAAGGCCCTGCAAGGACAGTTTACAAATTACTGTTAGAATGGTTTTTTTAACCATTTAATGAGTTTTTCAAGTGATTGATTCCCTGCTTATTTTGATCTCTTTTCTTCTAACCCTGCCTCCTCCCTTGGCTTTGGTGAGGACAGGAATGATCCTCTGCCAGTTTATGGTGAGCTCTGGGAGCATGGCAGCATTTTGAGGAGGAGGCGGCAGCCTCAGCAAATCATGGCTCCCCCCAGCAGGAGTGGTCAGGCTCGGTTTCTCTGAGGGCTTCCTCCTCCAATGAAGGACTTCTGTTTTAATCAGAGAGAGACTGCAAATTTTCTGTCCCTCCTTAGTGGGCTGTTCCTGTTCCTCACTCTGTGTCACCTGTGTGGAGTTCATTGCAGCTTACCTTGTGACTCAGGGTAGGCTTCCAGGCCGGCTGAGTGGCAGAGCGCATCTCCCGCTGCCAACACCAGCACTCCAAGAGCATTAAGCAGCACGGGAGAGGTGAAACATGGTTTGGAGACCAGGTCCTTTGCCTTAGAGACTGCAGTGGGTGGAAGCGGGAGGTCAGACAGTCCTTTTCCAAGCTATGTGCCTAAATACCAGCACTCTCCTGGCGAGGGAGGAACTATAGGCGGCTACAACACTAATAGCACCCGCATTGTTGAGGGGGTGTGAGGTGTGGCTAAGCAGGGCACGAGGGCCTGGCTTGTTTGTCTTATGGCCCTGTAGCAGCATCAAACTGCATCTGATTTCACTGCTCTCTGCTTCTGAGGGGAGCAGGGAGCTCCAGGCGGTTTTCTCTTTCTCCATTCCTTGTGCTCCAAATGAAGGAGACTGCCGAGACTGAAAGAAGGTTCACTTCAATTTGTGCAAAGGAGGTGGTGTGATCTCTCTTTTGTGACCAGCATTTACAGATCACTCAGGCTGGTGTGATCTATAAAATAAATTTTAAAAAAGTTTGTTCCAAGTAAAAGTGCGTCTTCTTGATTTTTGTCCCTCTGGAAAACCAGGCTGAAATCCAGAGGAAGCTGGTTTGCCTGGCACCACGTTCCTTTGCTGGAAGGAAGAGGAGGCTGTACTCATAGTGACAGCAGGGCAGGGCATGGCACAGCACAGGAGAGCTGCTGCTGAGCCTCTGCACAGCCCTGATAGCTGGCCAAAATGAAGTGCACCATGGTGGCAGAGTGGTAAAATGAGAACACGGGTGTGGTGAGAGCTGTGCAGTGTGAGATGTGAGTGAGTGGGTGTGAAGAGCATCTCTAGCAAATCACTTGGGGCCAGCCCCAGGAGAGAAACTCTGCTAGAAGATGCAGCATTAACACTGTACTTGTAGTGCCTGCCTACTGTGCTTCCTGGGACATGCACCTCATCTGTTTCTGCAAATACAGTGGGACTCTCCAGGGTTTGCAAGGAGCCTTTTTCTGTCTCCTCAGTTGATCTCAGAGATTCGCAAAGGCTTTTTCTGCTCTGCACAGCCCTTTCATAGGTAAGTGTTGGGCTGTGGCAGCCAGAGGCCCGCACAGCCCTTTTCCTTGAAAGGGCTGGTCCAGGGCAAGCAGAGAGCAAGCCTGGCCCTAGCGTGGTCTGGGAGGTGATGCATGAGTATTCCTCAATATAAGCCTTCCTCCAAGCCTAGGTTAAGCAGACAAGGTTGTGACCCTCCTCAAGCCAGTTAAATTTCCCATTTTTCAGCCTTTTTTATGCACTAAGTTAATTTTCCTTAGTGTGAGGAAGTTATTTCCTTTCTGCTTGCTTTATAGCTGATGGGTAGTTAGCCCATGTGAAGGAAAAGAGAAGTAAGCAGATCCCCTGAATTAGGCTTTGTGTCAGGCTTTGTCCCTGATAACCCAGCCTCACTTGCTGCTCCTTAGGGCTAAGCTGGACTCTGTTCATGGTAAGGCAGAGGATGGGAGGGCTTGGGAGGTGACTGCAGAATGAGGACAGCTATGATATCACAGACTTAAGTCTACTAGAAGTTTTTAGTCCCAAGGAATTAGAGAATTTAGGAATAAGTATTGTTTTCAGCATTGTTTCAAGGAGTTTTTCATCCTCAAGCCTGCTCAATGACAAGGTGATAACTTTAACTGGCCCTAGAGTTAGTACATCAGGCTGGAAAATAAAGATTTGCCATAAAACTACATAGAAGAAGAGCTCCAAGAATAGCTTTGTCTATCTACTAGCTCTGCACCATTCCCAACAGCAAACTCAGTTACAAAACATCCAAACCACTCCGGGCAGTTTTGATATAATTTATGTCTTGTTTTTTTTTTTGTTTTTTTTTCTTGCATAGGCATAAATTACAATCTGTTGATTAAAAAATAAAAGAAACAAAACAGTGCAGCATTTGCAACAGGCTACGGCATCAAACACAAACTCCTGTCTGTAACCATCTGTTTCAGCAGGGCTAATTTGTAACACATGTATAGGGCAAACTGAGAAGGAGGGAGAATAGAGGATGGAGTAAATAAGAGAAATCTGCTCCCACAGCTGTTCTGCATTTCTCCTGCCTCACCAGGCACATCTTCAGCATCAGTTCTAGGATTAAATACCCATGGGAAGAGAAGCACATGCTGAAGTAGCACTTTTCTGTGCCCTCTCTTCTTTTGCAGCTCTGGGAAGTGCCGCAGAAAACCTGCAAGCTCCAATCTCGAGAGGTAGTGGCTTCTGGCACAAGTGCTCGGGCTGCAGCCCAGCCCTGATGCTGAATTTGGAGGCTGAAAACCCACATGTAGCCTCTGCATATGTTCCTGGAGATCCTCACACAGATGGCATGGTGAGGCCTCTAAAACCAGCTAGAAAAGACCATGAAACCCCAGGATGAGCTCTCACTGGTAGCTCCAGGGAGCGAAGATTTTCATGTCCAAAGGACAGGGCAAGCTTGCACTGTAAAGCTAAGTGCTCCCTAACCCAGACACAGCAGTTAACACCCACACAGAAGGAGCAGAGATCCCACTACCACTCCCTTTTCAGGGGAAGAGGTCACCTTTCCTGCCTCTCATCAGCATGCCTGATTTACCACAAAATCCTTTTTTTCTTGGGCAAAGACCTTGTCTGTTCTTACAGTCCAAGCCAGGGACCAGGGAGCCAGAATGAACATAAGAAAAGGGGTTTTCCCAGGCTCATGGTTTATAGCTCTTGTTCCAGCAGCCATAGAAAGGTGAGAAAAAGGGAGAGCCTCATCTCTGCTTTCTCTTTCTGATTCAAATAAATACAGGAACTGGTCTGTCAAACCCAGAACAGGTCTAGGCATTCATAAAAGCACAGCTCCATGTGCTTAGTGCACTCATGGACATGACTCCAAGGCAAGCAGGCAGCTGTAGACAAGTTTAAAATAACTTTGGCTGTGGATGCCAAGAATTAAGACTATGCTCAATATAGGAGAGAATTTATAGTCCCTGGCTCTGGCTCCAGGTCAGCTTTCTCCCTGCAGCAGGGCCTCCCAGCTCTGCAAGAGGCTCCGGAGGGTAATTTTAACCTGTTGGGGACAGGGCTTCACCCTCTGAGCTCACTTCCCCTGCTTGGAGCAAGGAGACCCCTTGCTCCAAGAAGGGGTGTGCTGCCACCACCCTCACCCTCCCAAGCTGGCATGGGGGGAGTCAAGGCTCAGCAACTCTGCCTGGTGCTGAAAGGAGACACTTCTTCAGCCCCTTGTTCTCCTTCTCTATGCCTACAGTGCTTCAAGCAGAGACTACCAGAGTGGGAATCAATACATTGTGCCAGGGGAAGGATGGTATCAGCATTGGACAGGGCTGAAACACTGACCATGAACCCTTAAGCTTTTCTTTCAATGAAACACAACACAAACCTGGAGGCTGTTAACACCATCCAATAACATAAGCCAAACAGTGTGATGCAGGCAGAGGAGGTGGAGGGGCCAGATAGCCCTAGCACCCCTCAGCCTGGGGAAGGTCCCTGTGCATCTTTCCTGCAAACCCCTGCCGTACCTCCACCCATGCCAACAGTGCAGGTAAGATTTACATGCCCACTGCAGGCAGAGCTCCCCCTCCTGCTCCAGCCCAGTCCTCCCACATCCAGGGCTCAGAGAACAGTGCAATGCCAGTAAGGAGAGGTAGGAGGAAAAGGGAGCCCTTCCAAGAGAAAGGAGGTCAGCCCGCACCAGTCTCGAGGACCGAGAGCTGAGGGAGCAGGCGGGGGGTGGCTCTGCATGCTGGCAAGCCCTGGCAATTGCCCCATCTCCCCCCAGGAGCCCTGCAGAGCCCGGGGGCAGCAGCTCCACTTGCTGCTAACCATCAAGTATATACAGATGCAGCCATGGGCAAGAGGCCACAGCCACGCATTGCAGTCTCAGAGGACATCCAGAGCAAGGAAGGCAGGAATGCCTCCAGCATCCCACCAGCAGCAGTGCACAGAGCACTCCAGCTACCAAGCCACCAACAATGGGAGGCCCACATTTTAAACAGCTCTGCTCATCTTATTCTAGCTTATCCTACTGTGTATGCTATTCTACTAAACAAAGCTCTAGCCCTCTCCACATCTAAGCCACTTATCCAAGTGGAACCATGAAACATTCTCTGGTTAAGTACAAATTGCATGGAAAAAGTATTTTTTCCCTTTGTTACTACAAACCCCCCCACGACAAAAAAACCAACCTCAACACCCCAACTGGAAAATAGCTTCCCTCCCCACCCCTCTTTTAAAAAAAATATCAGAACAAACCCCAAAGGAAAAGCAGGCAACAGGAATTTTCAATAGCATCATCAAGCTTAACACTGGGAGGCAGCCAGCCAGGGAGGCCAACAGCATCGGTAAGACCCAACTCAGCTACTGTCAGCAGGAGGGCTTGAGTGGATGGACGGCAGCACCAAGGTGGGCTCTGCCACCAACATGTGCCACATTCCTCTCCTCCTGCTGCTCCAAACCATTAGTTTTATGTTAATACTTCATTAATACTGTCTTATTTCCTCTCTGCCAGCCCAGCATTGGAGGGCTGGAGATCTTTACCGAAACCAACACCAAGGCAAGAGAAGTGACCCTGTTTGGAGGGGACCTGGTGGCCACGACCAGTGGCTCCCACTTACTCTGGCAGCACTGAGTCAGGCACCGTGGTCCCACACACCAATCTCCTACACCCAAGCCCGCGTGAAGCACATCACAAAATGACACACCTCTTTCCCAAGCCCTGGCCATGCTAGAAAGGAGTGGAACAACAGGGAAGAGGAGCAGCGCAAACCTGATACAAAGTTAGCTTAAAAAGTTAAAACGTCCCATACACACTGAAAACAAGCCAGGCTGCGCTAGGACCACGTGGGACGCTCTTGCCTCACCACCCTGGTCCTTGGAAGAGTGAAAGCCTCACCCCTTCAACACCAGCTCTTCTCCTCCCGCCAGGGGAGCAGCTTCCAGGGGCGGCTGCTGGCACATGCCAGGATTTCTACGTGCGAAGCAGTGAACCAGATGCATCCCTCCTGCTGTCAGCCCGGCAGCATCCTCATCCCGCGTGGGCCGGGGGTCAGTGCGCCGGCTCCCCGTGCACACGGAAGCGATAGATGCAGGTGTATTCGGGGTGGCCCCAATTGCTCAGCACCCGGAGCTCCACCAGCTGGTATGTGCCCATGGAGTCACCCTTGGGGAGGAGGGAAAAGAAAAACCTGAGACCTTGAGGGCTCTCTATGGCTGAGAGACCTCAGAGGCCCCATTTTCTTCTCGGGGATCAGGTGCTCCAGGGGCAAAGTATTTACCTCCAAGTAAAATGTTTGGATGGGGTCACCATCATGGTTGTAGGTGAACTGTCCAAGGAGAAGGCCCTCCTCCTCTCCTTCTTCCTTTAAACCCTATGGAAGGGCAGGGAGGCAGAAAGGGAGAACCAGGGGTCATCAGAGAGGGAGACCAGAGGCAGGGCAGAAGAGGGAGAGTGAGACCAAAGTGTGCTTGGCCCCCACTCCTGCTCTTCCAGGTCAAAATAGACAAATGGGAACAGGGACCAGTGGGGAAGGATGAAGGGGGGAAGACCAA